GATGTTAGAGACAAAGTCCTGAATCCAAGGAGGTCCACTCAGGGCAACATTTCCTTAGAAGTATATCATTCATTCCATTGTGCGGTTACATTTGGCTGTCAGTACAACTCAAGTACAATGCTGGCAGCAGGGGACGGCTCACCGTGCTAAAACTAAAAGTTACAACAGTGACACAGCAAGCAAGGGTAATTTCCAATGGTTTCAGAATATACAATTTTTTTCAAATTTTATAGAATGAATTTTGTCTCTATGCCTTGCCATGAACAGAGAGTTTCAGTAAGTCGGAGAGTGGTTGGGAAGCTCGAATGATATCATGGAAGAGCATAACTGACTATGTGGCCAGAGGTTAAAATTTATGTCAAACATTATGCTTCATTAAAAAATGAAGGAAGAAGCCAAGAGCCTTTAATTTTACCCTTGCTTGCTGTGTCACTGTTGTAACTTTTAGTTTTAGCCGGTGAGCCGTCCCCTGCTGCAGCTATTGTACTTGAGTTGTACTACAGCCAATGTAACCAGCCAATGGAATGAATGATATATTCTAAGGAAAGTTGGCCCTGAGTGACCTCCTTGGATTCAGGACTTTGTCTCTAACATCTGTCCATCCGCCAGTCCCTGGGGTTGACTGTAAGAAGAACAGTATTCCCCATCAAGCCCTATGCAGAGAAGTCTCGGGTAACTTTCCAGTTCTCCATTTGCCAGTCATTTAGAAAAACCCCGAGAGGAGAAAAAATTAGGATGCTGGCATCATCTGAAGATTCATTTCCCTCTATTAAGAGCATAATAGTGCCAGGCGTGGTGGCTCACGCCGGTAATCCCAGCACTTTGGGAGGCTGAGGCAGGTGGATCACGAGGTCAGGAGTTCAAGACCAGCCTGACCAACATGGTGAAACTCCATCTCTACTAAAAATACAAAAATTAAGCAGGCTTGGTGGTGCATGCCTGTAATCACAGCTAAAATTATAAAAATTAAGCGGGCTTGGTGGTGCATGCCTGTAATCCCAGCTACTCAGGAGGCTGGGGCAAGAGAATCACTTGAACACGGGAGGCAGAGGTTGCAGTGAACCGAGATATCACACCACCGCACTCCAGCCTGGGTGACAGAGCGAGACACTCCATCTAAAAAAAAAAAAAAAAAAGAAAGAAAACCAAAACAACAACAACAACAAAAAGCATAATAGCTCTCATGGCACATCAAGTTCTGGGACAAAAATTACAATGCCAGCCCTATGTGTTATAAATCAAAACCTACTACTTCTCAGTCAAATACCACTTTAATTACAGGGCTCCCATATTAGAGAAACAAGATTAGGAAGGGTAGGAGCTCAAACGGTGCAGAATGGGAGCAGCTTCACACTGCAATCATCAAATGAGCACCTGGCCAGAAAATCAGAGTCTGAACTCCACCATCTATAGCCTAAAGACTCAGGTTTGTCACTTTACCTGTGAGCTCCCGTGCCCTCATCCTCAACATGAAGATGAAGATAACGACACTGAACTTGGAGAGTGGTTGGGAAGCTCGAATGATATCATGGAAGTGAAAATGACCTGTACATATAAATGTATAAATAAAATCAGCATATAAAAAGGAAATTAAGAAATACTCTCCAAGCAAATTAGAAAACTGTCTGCCTATTTAATCTGCCCTCTGTAATAGATTTATAAAGTCAATCGATTAGATGGAAAATAAATAATAAGGGTCAATAACCAACTCAAGCAGAAATATTTAAGAAAGAATGCAGGACCCAAGGAACCTCAAATAGCGGATTTAAATTATCATCCCCCACATCAAAATTTTAAGTGCTTTTGCTGTTGTCACAGACAGTGCAAGCCTGTTCTCACCTAATGAGACTCTGAATCCCTTATGGGTTTTCACTGGAGGGGAGGTTGAGCATTGGCACTGGGAAGAGAAGCCACACTGACAAAGGAAATACAGGCTGCCTTAGCAGTGAGTACTTCTGGCCCATCTCATCCAGCAAAAGCTGGTACAGGAACTTTGGTGTTTTTCCACTTCCCTAGTATTGTAGGGAGATAATTTTACACATTTTCAAACCTTAAATAATCTCACATAATTGCTTTGTGTTTAAATTGCCCCAGACCTTACAGGTGAGGTTTATTCTCCCTTTACATATTCATTCCCTTCTTCAAACAATATTTACTAAATATCTATATGCTCCCTTCCTCCTTCAAAGTCCCATAGAAATTCATTAGTATCTTTAGTTTTTCTTGTGCCACATATTAAATTTTCTAGTATTATAATTATAGGCCTTTATTTGTCTTCCCTGCCAAGAGACTATAAATTTCTAAATGGAGACCTTCCTTATCCATCTTTTACTCAAGTGTCAGGCATAATAAAACAACAGCAGCAGCAACAAAATTGCATGTTATGTAAAGAGAAATGATACTTGTGTAAAACAAGTAAACGAATATATTTGAGATAAGCATACCATTGTGGTTTGTGATGAAACCTCACTATTAGAAGGAAAAATGATGACTTTCAACTCCTGTTAGTAAACTGGAGGTTTTGCAGTCCAATAAAATTAATGCTGATATCCAATTTCCAATGGTTTCAGAATATACAATTTTTTTCAAATTTTATAGAATGAATTTTGTCTCTATCCCTTGCCATGAACAGAGAGTTTCAGTAAGTCAAACTGAAGAGCAGATGTTTTTTGTTTGGTTTGGTTTTTCAAACCCACAAATTATCAATCTTTTATATCAGGAACTGTGGCAGACTGTTACAAGGGTAGCTCCTGACTACAATTTGTAAAGGTCTAGCTTTTTTCACTAGCCAGATTCTCCTAGTCAGGTCTCAAATCTGAACTCCAGATATACTTGAACTGTTTTTCTATAACCAACAGTTCAATACTCTGTCACCAAAGCCCCATTCCCCATCCTATTCCAATCCTAGTAAATGACCGTTGACCTTTCTTTCCAGAGTTCAAGAAAATGAAGGTTTACAGTGCAGCTAATACTTAACCCCAGACACATCTCATCTGATATACAATAATTTCTCTTTTTACAATTTAAGAAAATATTGTATATCAGATGAGATGTGTCTGGAACATAAATACAAATTTACTGCAGAAAAATTGTTTATCTTGGTTGAAAAAAATAAGGTTACATTGGTTTGGTAATTAAATAATTAAAAGGGCTAATATTTGAAAAAAAAAACTGTCAGCAGTATAGAAATCTTTCACACTGGATTTATTACGTTGGTGAAAAAGTAACGGCAAAAACTGCAATTACTTTTGCACCAACCAAATAGTTAGAAGTGAAGTAAATTTTTATTTTTCTTTAAGAGCTCCACACTTTCCAGAGTCTTTTTGTCTTCTAAGCCCTCACCAGACTCTGGGCTTTTAGTAGCCTGCTCCTCCAAATCTAGTCTCTGCTCATTCCCTAGTTCCAAAGCTGTTTCCACATTTTCAGTGAAATAAACATTAATAGAAGCCGCTCCAAATACCTCCATTTATAACTCTAAAATAACACATGCTGTTCTCCTGGTCTTCCACTCCCTCCCCTGGGATCTGAGACAAATAATTCAGTAGAGGTACAGGGAAAGTGGATTTTCTAAGAATTGATAGTTGGATTCTAACTTGTTTACATGGGTCTAGTTTTCAGAATAAATGCTTAAAACTCATATTTAGTGTCAATTAGAGCAATCTCTGTAGTATATTTCTCAGAAACAGTATGTTCAAGGCATGAAAGCAGGAAGAAACATGTAAGTTATTTTCTTAGTCCTCTTTTAAGAGGATTGGGTCTTGGGTCTGTAGATAGGTGATTTACAGAGTCTCCTCTCTTGGTCCAGCTCCTATAGTTAGATTTGGTAATATGGTATCTGTCAAGATTTTTGAATCCTTCTTTGGGTATCAGTAAAAATAAAAGTACTTTATTATCAGTAAATATCATCTGTAATAAATTTATGGTCTTTAGTACTCAGCAAAAAAGAACAAAGAGATTTTATAATTCTATCTACTGAACATTCAGTGATGGCTAACTATGAGTCAAAGGCCAAATACATTTTCCTTGCTTCTGATTTTGTAAAATGGCATTGCTATTTATAATAATAGCATACATTTCTTTTCATTATGCTCAAAAAACTGAAGTGGAAGATGCTTCCATTTTCTTTAAGCTACTGTTAGATTATTTTCACTCAGTAAAAGGACGAAAGTGTAATTTCCATATCATGTTAAGAAATAGGAAAAAGATATCAAGATTTAGCTCAATATGTTTCCATTACAGATAAGAAAACTGAAGCTCAAAGCAGCAAAATGGCCTAGCCAAAGCCATCAAGCCAATCATTGGCT